CGGGGCAAGAGGGTGTTGGAATGGGCTGTAGGGGTCAGAGGGCAGGGGGCATAGGGGTGGGGGTCAAAGGGTGTTAGGCACTGCGGAGCAAGAGGCTAGGTTGTTTTTGCTTTACTGTAAGGTTTAATGTTGATGTGTTATATATTTGTGACTTGCATCATGAATATGCAAATATGATGATACCGGTCTGCCAAAAGTTTGTGAATGGGTTTGCTGGTCTGTGGGATAAAAAAAGATCAGGAACCACTGTATTAGGGAACTTAACATCTGATTCGATGTGGAAGCAGAAATTAGTGATGGATGGATAAGAGATCTGCGAGTCTAGCTAGCATGCCAGTGAAAATGGATGGTATGTCTTTAAGACACAAACCAACCTTAGAATTAGAGGCATTTGAGAGTCTGAGAACTGGTGATCAGATTAGGGTCTGTGTTGCTTGTTACCTGACTGACTGGGGGGAGGAAAACCTATGGCCATTGTGAGCAGAGAGGCCACTCCCAGCCAGCCATCTGAAGAAGTGGGTTGTGCCCACAAAAGCTCATGACGCCATCTACATGTTTTGTTAGTCTCTACAGTGCTGCTAGACTATTCGTTGTTTAAGTTTTTGCCAGTTCCAGACTAACTCAGCTACCCCTCTGAAACTTGAGAAAGGGGAAGTCAGGGTTTGAGCCCACAGGGCAGGGAGGAAGGAGCAAACTTGCTCTTGCGAAGGAAAGCTGCAAACTTACCTTGGCATGCCAGAACTCCACAGGTGTTGAGCCAAAGTTGTGGCATGACAAAAAACTAGAAATGCACAATTGTAATGAGTTTGTTCTTATTGCTGATAACTTTTGTAACCGATGCGCTGCTGCTACCAAGAATTGTAAAAATGTCCAATGTGCATGCTCTTTTGGAAAAACCCTGGAACATGTGTAACCCCCTTTTCCTTCCCCGGGTTACTCGGGAAGCAGGTCACACTCACAGGTGTGCCTGGGCAACTGCTGGCTTTAACGTAAAAGGAGATCCTGAGTGCCTCTATGTTGGGTGGTTAGAGAAGGTGCACGATGCCTGCATGTTCTGCAATTCCAGCCTATTCCACAAGATGGAGGCCAGCACTGTCTTTCCCAACCACACCATCAGGTTCAGGGATGTGGACATGCCACTGTGTATCATGATGCAGCCTACCCTCTCCTGCCGTGGCTTATGAAGCCCTACACCGGCCACCTTGACTCCAGCAAGGACCACTTTGATGCCAGGCTGTGCAGGGCCCGCATGCAAGTGGCATGTGCTTTTGGGCATCTCAAGGCCCATTTCTGATGCCTCCTGACCTGCCTGGATGTGGGGTAGCAGAACATCCCCCAGGTGGTGTCTGTGTGTTGTATGCTCCATAACACAGTGGAGAGGAAGGGGGAGGCATTCCTTCCAGGGTGGGGGGCAGAGGCCGTCCGGGAGGGAAGGGCTTCTGAGCAGCCATGCATAGCTGCCATCTGGACAGCTGGGAGGCCCTGAGGGAGAGTTTTGCACAAGGACCCCAGTAACACTCTCTCCAAGGCCTCCCCACTAGGGGCCTGTGCCTTGCCCCTCTGTGCCTTGACCCCTGCAGAGACAATAAAACAACTTTTTTGTTTTTGAAAAAAAAATGAACTCCTTTGGTTATTTATTTGGGTAAAAGTAACTGGGGAAAGAACCTGGGAGAGTGGAGGGGCTGGGAGTGGCACCTGGCTCAGATGGCTCCTCTGCCTCCT